CGAGGAAAAAATCTTTCGCCTATGACCATATTTGGTTACAAGACGGGGCTTTATGGCCCTGCCTGGGCCTTTCAGAACTGGAGGTAGCAATCGTCGCGCTGTGAAATTTTCCGTTCGATCGCGAAAGAATACCAATTTGTTGATGGAGGCTTTGTTAAAAAGTTATTAATGTTTAAAGTTCCTGTATCTTTGTATCTCGATGATGGTTTTGGAACGAAATTGACATGAAACTTTCGTGCTCTCGTGTCTTGGCACGATCTCTTTTGATGGTTACCGACATCGTGCCGATCGACTCGTCGGCATGCCGTTCGGCTTTTCAAGCCATGCTATCCAAGACGATGCAGTGTTTGGCTTTGCCGAGAAGTACTTAGGGTGCCGATCGGCCGTGCTAGATGACAGATGCGGACGCAGTGTAGACGCAATTCTCGGCTTTTGCCGATCGGCCGTGCCGAACGGCAAATGCCGACCCAGTGGGGACGCGGCTTAAGGTTTAACCTTTATTTCGAAGATACACATCAAGAGTCGAGACGGACTACGTGACTCCCTCACCCCACTCCCCACTCCCCACTCCTCGCGCGAGAGACGTGTCCGATCCTGTTCGTCATTCTTCGTCTGGAAAGTGGTGTGAGAAGTACGTTGACAGCTTCGCGTCTAATTAGGTACGTATTTTTTATTTTTGACCATTTCTATTCTCTTCGTTATTCTCCATCGATGCAATTATACAATATTAATAAGTGCATTTTAACAAATTTGTGTTTTATTTCTGTAAGAGCCCGTAATTACAATTCAAACACGGGACGCTCAACTACGGTCAAACGTATTTTTCATTTTTAACCGGTTCTCATCTTTTCGTCATTACTCATCGATGCATTTTTCCAATATTAATAAGTGTCTGTTAACAAATTCGTGTTTTATTTCTGTGGCAGCTCGTAATTACAATTCAACCACATGAGATTCTCAACTGCGGCCAAACTACGGTCACGCTATACACGCGACGCCATAATGCTTTGAGAGTTTGTGAACACGTTTCGATAGGAAACCTGTATCTATACGAAAAAGAGTATTTGGCGATGCCCACGTGCGAAAAATGTAAGTATTCTTCGTATTTTGTTCCGAGTGCGCTTAAAAAAAATTGTTTGATCTAAATTTGCCATCAAGTTTTCAAATACGGTAGAAACCTTTACGTAAAAACATTTACTTTTTCTTTCTAAAGGATCCTGACATCTCATCATCGTACTTGTGGATCCAGAGAAACTCGACGATGATCTCGCTGCTGACCTTGATGCTGACTTCGTTTCTAACGTCGCTGATGACTTCGCTGATGACTCCTACTATGCAACATCGTCGCCCGGGTGCTTGAATTCTACAGTTGGTGAGTCGCATGCTATTTTGTTTCCTCTGGTCCCCAACCGTGTTGTAGGATGAAATATCCGAATCAACACGGGTGACCAGTTGTATACTTGGTATTTTTGACGAGTTAAGTGACCGCGGGTATGAAAAATACCCATGAGTTATATTTTTTTAGTGCAGGCTAGGGTCTTCTTGCACTCGCGTTTTTTAATGTTATCAATAAATATTACACAATATGATTATTACACAATTTTAATAAAATATATGAAATATGTTTATTATCTTTATATGAATTAAATAATTGAGTAGAATATGAATTAATATAATGTAAAAACATTATATTAATCGTATGATTGAGTAAAATGTCTTACATCATTAATATAATTATTAAATATTCGTTTTATTAATTAATATATCATATGATGTATTTTATGTGCAAGAAGGCGTTTCGCGACTGGTCGATTTTCTACTCAAAGGAACATGCATGTTAATTCTATTTTTTTTTAAATTTACTTTGACGACAGAATCGACCAAGGTTAATTTAATATTTTGAATAATAATTTAACAAATTTATTTCAATTTGCAAAGTAAATTATTTTATCATGAAATCTTTATTAAAGTCTTACATTTTGAACAATTAAATTTCAGTCACAAATTTTTCTTGAATAATAATATCTTTCAATATTTACGTACTCTGTTGTTGATATATTACATATAACAAGTCATTTTAACTGAGAATAGATACCGTTTAGTTAATTATTAATAACCAGTTGTTTTATTCAGGATTTTCAGGATACTTTCCCGTGTTCTTTGCCTAAGTTCATGCACATGCCCAAGTGTTATTTGCACGAGCGAAGGCAACGGGGCACGATGACTTAGTTTGTAACATTTATAATAATAATTTATCTGTGCGACTGACAATGTTAGTGTCTCGAGCACGATGTACTGTCCACATATGTGTGTTTGTGGTTAGGTTGTGGAAGTGCATCGTATCAAAAGTTCATCACAATTCAGATACAGAATTTTTTGACATTAGATTCATAACAATCACAATAATAATATTAAACTTATAGTTATTATTTACTTGGCAATTGTTCGTATTGCATACACGTCGATAATATTGTAAAATGCATAATGAATTAGCTTTTCAATCTTATATAATCATATATGTATAGAGTATATTTTAATAGAGACTATATCAGATATATTAAAATGTTTTACATAAATAATAAAATTACGCAATGGGCACTAGCTTTGTCAGTCCACTGCAAAAACAGGTACGTACACAATTAGAGTATGAATGAGGTTGTGTCCGGGTGTCGGAGGAACCCCGGGGAGTCCTCTCTAGTTTAGGTCGCGCCCGGACATTGAGAATGAGAACCGTGGAGTGTTTGTTTGAGAGACTGAGTTTTGCATTTTTTTAAATATAGAGTTAGGTAGGTAGGTAACTTTGTTTTTGGTGTGTGTGTGTTTAAACCTAAGTAGGTAGGGTCAGGGCAGGACTGTCCACATTAGTAATTCGGGTAGGCGCGTTTTCGCGTGGCAGTTCTGTTCCTGTAGTTACGATTTCGAGAGTAGAAATGTTGCTGATTCAAACGGTGCACTTGTGCTGTTTGTTTCGGCTTTATTTTCGACTCCTCGAATCGCGCGACTCTTAAAGTCGCTCTCTCGCGCTCGCGGTCGTGATTAGGTCCCTTTCGAAACGTTCGCCCCCTCGAGATTCACCACGTATGCACTTGCAACAATTCGTATATTGTTGGAAGACTACGTATTGCACAAAATCTCGAGCCCGGTCTTTCGTAAGTTTCAGGCATCGGCAGGACCGCCGAAGAAAGAAAAGGCTCTCAATGAGCCGAAGAGGCCCTGACAAACTGTCTCAAGAGTGGGCTACAACAAATGGTTTTTCATCTTTATCCTCGGATGAGGATGGAAAGTCATTCCTGTTACTACTTTGTCACTTAACTCGTCTGTAGTTGTAGTTAGTTTATTTTTCTGACTCGCTCACGTATGCATGTACCTGATGGTACATGATTGCACCATACATGCCAGCCATCCGTCCCCATAACCCGCGGTTATGATATACATAGAGTTGCGAATATCCAATAATCGCGTTTGCTTGTAGAGTTGCGAATCACTGTTTTTCGCGTTTGCTTTTCAGGGTAGTGTTGCGAACAATCACGATTCGCGTTGCTTTTTTACTCTTTTGTATATATAATAATGGATGTCAACCGCGTTTGTAATTTTCACGTTATAAATTAGCGTTGCGATCTTGATTAATCGTGCGATTTTTTATTTAGCGTTGCGATATTTTCAATGCCCAAATTCTACCCCAATTGTAGTACTAGTAGTAGTTAGTTTATTTTGTGGCCAGTACATGTCTATGTACATGTACCAATAGCCCCTGATTAAAGTTAGAGTTGCGAATAATATACAATGTTCGCGTTTGCTCGTAGAGTTGCGAACAAATATTTATCGCGTTGATATATCAGTGCTGCGAATAAATACGATTCGTGATTGTCTTTATGTAAACCTAGGAACCGGGCGTTTGCTTTAAAAATAGCGTTGCGAATTTTTAGTAAACGCGATTGCGAATTAGAGTTGCGAATTACTATTTTTCGCGTTTGCTTTTCAGGGTAGTGTTGCGAATAATTACCATTCGCGGGTTGCTTTTATTCTTACAAGTCGCGTTTGGAATTTTTTCTATTATAAATTAGCGTTGCGATTGTTGATTTATCGCGTTGTTGCCCCGTAGTGTTGCGATATTTGAAACGTCTAACTTCATCCCCATATTTGCCACTCTATTGTAGTTTGAAGTAGCTTGATGTAGTTAGTTTCTTTGTAGAATTTTATTTATTGTCTGATTTATGTTTCAGGGAAACATCGTGGGATTAATCAAGACACCAAGAAGAAATATCTTTTCATATTTATTTGTTTTATATGAGTTATATATTTTATTGGATATGCTATGTAATTACATAGCAAATAATATGAGCTAATGGCTGCGTTCTTATTACAATTTAAAATAAAAAATAGAGGATTTGCGGTGTATTTACCAATGAGATCCTTACGTATTTTAATAATTTTGAAATCTTTAAATAATCTCAATCGATTCCGTTAAAAAATAATATAATTTATGTAATTTTATTTTCTGTCTCACTTCCTCTTGTGTTAATTTCTGAATCTGTTGATAACGTTGCGAGTGACACGAAAATGGTAATGACAGAAACTCGGGCCGAAAAATTACATTAGGTGAAAGGTCTATTCATATACCTCGTCTGTGATTGGACTTTGTAGCCCCAGAGAAATACCCCGAAAACATACATTGAATGCAACCTCTACTCGTATATTTCGTTTGTGGTTATATTAAAATGATAAAATAGTTCAATCGTGTTGTAGAGTGCGCCACATTTTGTCTTTGTAGCGCCATCCATCGAGGTTTAACGACATCGAGCGGCAACACCGGGAACGAATTTAAGTTACGCGCGTTCTTTCCTTTTGACAAGTGTTCTGTGGTGTTTTGACGCGTCCCGGCGTGTTCGACTTATAAAACATTCCCGTAGACATGGGTGTCACCGTGTAAGTACTTTTATAATCCAAAAAATTTGTTATAATCATTCGTACGCATGATTCGTACGAACGCGGCTGTTTCGTTTTACGTGCTGTACGCGCTTATCGACATTTTTGACGTTTGGAGGTTATGTAGCGCGCCTAGCACATGTTAGAATGCAAAGAACCTTCTAGAATATTTCTATCGTTCCAATGGTCAGTGCACGCTGTAAACGATACTAATTGTCGTGTGCTTTTAAATGTAATAAAAACGAGTGCTCGTTGTCTCGTCCGTGACCGGCATTTTGTGTATTCGTCAGGTTGCAACAGTACCCGATGATAGAAAACAGAACCGGCCCGCAAACAATCGAGTTTTTAACGAAGAGAATCGTCGCCCTCGGTGCAGTGCAAACCGGCCAGTTCCTGGTAGATTGCGAAACCTACGTATCCGTGCCGCAGTTGGGTGAGTGTTTCCACATTTTGAAATTGAATATTCGGAACGTCGCGTCCCGTGTCGGGCGCGGCGTAGTGTGTTGTCTCGAACACAGATGGCCGCGAGAGTACTTTTACAAAAAACGCTCGATCGAAACGATGAAATCTCTCGCTTTTATGAAACAGCGATGCATCGAATTTCAAAATAGAAATATTTAATATAAATATACGTGAAGATATCACGATGATTTTAGAAGATTATACTATTTAGGGAGCGGTAGGTAAGGTTAGGACGGAAATAAGAAAATTAACTATCGTTTGACGATTATATCTGCTTTCTTTTGGCATTTACGTAGGTGTATATGGATTTCTATACAAACACGCAATAGTTTGGTTCCGCCGAAGGTCGTTTAGCGATCGTATATCCAGTTCATTACTTCTAGAGAGGTACAAACGCAGACGCTAACGAATTATGACTTAAGTACATACATACTTATGCGTAACATAAATACACGGCGCATCCGTTCCGGAAGTGCACGTCTCTTTCGCTGCGGATTTCGCGCCACCGTATCGGCAGGATTGTTTTGTGCTACTCGTATTTCTTCGATCGACATTCTTTCGACAGTTGGTTCCTCGCAAATCTGTATCGATCTCGTCTACTTTTCATACTGACGACGACCAAACAATCCGATTTCTTTTTTTTTACCGTCTTTTTAAACGACCAATGTTTTCAACGCGTGGACTCGTACAGACTGACGCAGCTACGTCTAATGTAATCGGAGAAAATCGTTAACGTCCATAAGGTTGACTAGGAGAAGCCTAATTTCAATCGAAGAATCACGAATTTTTTTTTTGTTTTTCTTTTCGAGGTCGCATTTTATAGTTTCCTATCGCGTAGAATTCACGTGGTCATTCGATCGAACGTTCAACTGCTATGATCGCGAGTCAATTGCCTTGCTTCCATTCGAATTTCGCGCGTCCATCGATCGCGTCGACGATGGCGCCCGAAATCAAACATGTTTACTCTGTAAAGGTACAAACGAACTACGTCTAAGCGTCATTACAAAAATATTAAATCTAGCAAGCGAAGCTAGGCGCGACCCTTTCAGGCTAGGATCAGATATATGTATATATATATATTTTTTTTTTTCATATATTGTATGTATATATTTATAGTACTGTATATAATCTTAATGTACGTAGCTTTTGGAAAATACGTTTTCGGAATATTCTCTTCTCGATTAGCGTATCTACAACGTTTGAACATCCCTCTTCGGTGACGGCCAGCGCTTCCTTCGAGTGTCCCATTATTGTCGTCAACTTGTAAATAATTCCCGATTAAATTATTGTCGATAAATAGAAGACATAATTATGCATGTGTATATAGCCTACTTGGCAGACCGTGGCGACTTTAATGCCCGAATGTGCTACCATTCTGTCTCTCAACGATCGAAACCATTCTTTATCGTTTTTTACATGTTCCTTTTTTTTTTGTATGCAACACACTTAAAAGCAACTTTCAATTATCCTTATCCTTCGTACATGTACAGGATAAAAGTATTCGTACAGCAAGGACGTGGAAATAAAACGAGCTATATTATGTATAAATAATTATACTTAATTATATGTAATTACATATTATACTCGAACCTTAGGGGCAACAAATATGCAGCAAGAGGAGTTATTACAATACTGTATAGTTAATAGTAATTCAAAATTCATATAAGGATGGCATTTTCACGTTTCTTAGTTTCAGTCGATATAAGATCTTTTTACAAGGAGTACAGTGAGTTGTAAATACACGGTTATATTTCTGTTTATGTTCTTATATACATTTTATGTGTATATTCACATATTAAATACAGTTTTCTTCAATTTTTCTTTACATATTGGAATATCCATAGATCTGTTAATTCAATGTAATTAACTCCTGTTCCGAAAATAACAGGAAATATTATTCTTAACCCTGGTCTACTCTTTTCTTCTTCTTGCAATACATCGTATTTATACAATTTTATTTACGCGGGAAACTTCGAAACTACTTAACCGTGTAGACAAACCGCTTTCTGGATACTTACAAATAAAATTAGTATCGTACAAATACTTTCGTCCTGTCGAAACGTTATCCTTAAGTGAATTTTAAATTATTATCGTTTTTTATATAGTGCAGTAACTTTCGTTCCTGTGTATTAGTTGTTACTTCATTTTATGTATAATATACAATTATATATATTTATACACATGAATAATTTAGGAATTGTAGACCTTTTCATGTCCACGTAATTAGTGTACGAATATTTCTATCCCTCACTGTATATACAGCACAGAGATGAGCAAAATTTCCAATAATAAGTGACGAATACAAAAATTCTATATCAATTTATACGCAATGCTTATTCGATGGAAAAACTTTCATTCTTTAAACGTAAAATATAATTTTACTTTGCAATTCAGATTATAATTGTTATAATTGTGATAGTAAGTTATTTATCTTTTCTTGGTTACTCGAAATTTTTACCTGAAGTATTTTGCCCATCCGTTATATACAAACGTACACAAACACTCACGATACACGTACACGAACGCGCGTGTGATGCGGGCCACGGATTAACTTTTCATTTTCCATTCTTCGAGCGAAAATTTTGATATTGGGCGTAATGGAATTTTCTATATACGCATAAAAATGGCAAATTATCGGTGAAATCTAGAAAGCTACTCTCACGATACAATTTTTATCGTTCTATGGGGTTGAATTTTTTGTTTTTTTGTGGGCATTATTTTCTTCATTTTTTATGTATCGACGAACATGTATTTCTGATGGATGATCTAGTTCCAAACGCGTTGATAATAAATTTCTGAATTGCACCTGGCCCGTTGTTACCCGAATTTACTGTGAATAATTAGGAGTTCCGGAATCATAGTATTTCGAATCACGATCAAAATTTCTGCCCTTTCCAACGAACGAATCGACCACGGCCTGCATCAAACAACTCACGGATCCTCGATCGATCGCATAACTACGCGTGCAGTAATAAGAATTATATCTGACTTTCGACTCGCTAATCGCTACACCTACGATTACGATAAACCTTCAATTCACGAGAGTGCGCAGTGCAGAGTTTTTGTTTCCTCGCTGGGTTAACTTAGCTACTTAATCGAAAGAAGGGCGCTCCGATTAATTGGGAGTAAGGTCGCTACGTAGGTAGAACAGGTGTTCGGTGAGATTACCGCGAACTATCGCGCCTCCCTCGACGGCAGATTTTAAAAGATACTACATATACTTTTGTTCGGCGCAGTATACTAAAGAAAACGAGATACTCGTTATGATGGTCGAAGAATCTTTCTGTACAATTTATATACAGAGTTGGGCAAAATTTTGTTCCAACAATGGATAACCGATGAGACCAACCTATAGCAATTTACTCGAACAGTTGCATTTTTATCTGATAATTGAAATTTTTAGAGTAATGGGTAAACAGTTGTTTACCTTTGTCTCTAGATAAGAATTTTGCCCATCTCTGTTTGTATATTATAGAATACAGAAGTATTTTCTCTCTCTCTCACACACACACTCTTTCTCTCTTCCTCCCACTCACTCTCACTCTTTCTCTTTCTCTTACTCTACGTGCACTCGTTTCACGAGCATTACACCTGCGCTAACTTAATTGTATAATTTGTTATTCAATACTGCGTCCAAGCCCTTGAGCATCGTAAGATTCATTTAGATATGAGAGTCGAAGGTGCTGCGCTCTTTGCGTTTTGTAGACAGTGACGCGAAAAGTAGATATCTATTAATTCTCAGATATGTCTTAGTTTACATTTTTCTTCTCCTTTTTACATTTACGAGACCGAGATGGAACGTAGGTAGAATAATTTTTACGGGGCGAGAAAGACGCAGATTTCGTTTCTTGGACCGATCACTGTCTACAAAAGTAATCGTTTTTCTTGTTTTTTTTTTTCAACGTTTAAGTACACGATTTTTTTTTTATTCTATACAGTGCAGAACGAGCACCTTTCGTTAGAATATTGGATATGGCAGGGATATGACTCACGGGTGTAAATGATTATAGATGTAAGAAGTCCTGCCGTTAGACTGCACGGAAAAAAATATTATCGTCGACGTTGAAAAGTAAATCAACAAGAATCACGCGTGTTCTTTTAATATAACATTAATCGCGCGAAATGTGTATCGTTGATATGCTAAAATCGACGTCCCTGGTCACGGGCGATTCGATTGCAATTCATTGAAATCGCGATTCGACGAGTAGAAAAATATCAGAACGATCAAACCGATACGACTTTCGAATTTAATTCACGATTTAACGAGTTTCTTTCGTTTCTTTTTCGTCGCACACGCGTCTACGAAACAAGCATGACTCGTGAAAAATATTTTCGTCCGTGAAGGCTAGGCGCTCGATCACAGATGCAGACATCGTTTCCGCGAAGTTTCGACGCTGACGTTCTACAAACTATATAAAAATACAAAATACAAATGCCGTTTTTTTCTCTTTTCTTTTTTTTTATACTCCGAATACCTCCCCCCTAAGAGACGCGCGACTCCTATCTCAAATTCGAGATTGGATGGTATCATTGCACGAATGGTTATTCTATACGAACGCTTATACCGACGAGAATTGTAAAAAATTGCGTGACCGTCGGCGGCAGCAGTATCCCCACGTCGACGAGAGGTAACCTCGATACATGTACAGTGTCTCGGAAATATCTACGTAACGATTACGAAATGGTAAAAAGTACAAGAATATTCCTAGCGATTTATTTAGAATCTGATACTTTATAACCCAAATTATTTCTAGCTTCTCAAAGCAATTTCGATATTGCACAATAAACTATCACATTTTCTTTGAAAACAGCTGGTACAAATTAATGGATGCATTCTTTTATGCTGCATTCAAAACATAAATACAAACTGATTTCTTCTATTTAAGTTACTGTTTTAATAAGTTATTTAATTTTCTTTACTATTATTGGATTCTTCAATGGTCATATTATAAAGAAAAATAGAGTCCTATTAGTCAAATATTTTCAACTTTTAATACAAACTCACGTTAATTTTGTTTCGAATGATACGTGTCTTTAAAAAGATTGAGATCTCGAGACACACAAAGTAACTTTCTAACAACAAATATTCTTAATTCTTTTACAAAAAACAATCGTGCTCCGTTTCCAAGTATTTTTTACTTCCTCAGTAATTATTATGTTATATCAACGTTCAGACACTCCACATTTAGGTTACCAATTCGAGACACGACTGCCCTCGACGTTACAAAAAAGACGATCCCACGCAGAAGCCGTTTTTGCCGAATTTCTACGGTTCCCACGTGTTTTGGCAATGGCTAAATAGTATTGTCGCAATGTTTGTTCGTTCTGGCGTCGCATAGTTCGACAGCCATGCGTTTCACACGAACACGCGCGTGTATACAATGTACAACGATAATCGATTTACACAATAGGTACTTAGTATGAAAGATAGTACGCGTGTATATATATATGTATAGTATCTACAGTTAATATTGTCATCATTAAGTCAATGGCCCCCCGCGCTAAATCTTTAGAACGAGGCCCCGAGTGTGTTTATACTTGCAATTCGACGTAAAATATTTCATTCAGCGTGTCTAATTTCTCTCCGTTCTACGTTCTTTGTCGGTTAGGGCAGGGGTGACGAACTTCTTTTCCCTCGAGAGCCACCGAGAGTTCCGCTATTAACAAACCGATTCTCTCATCATCAGGTTCCATAGTAGTTGGGTGCTCAGCCAGCCTTCGTCTCGATTCTGTACAGTGGGCATAGTGGGGGTGAGTTTTTCTACGCTTATGCGACACAGAAAAGTAGGGGAAGACGCGAGCCATCAGTTCGTCACCCCTCGGTTAGGGTATTACGTCCCGCGCTATACAAGGGTTTCCGTAATTCGAACAAAGACTGATTTTTTGTCGAAAAATAAATCGAAAGCGCGAAATAGAATTTTTTTCTCGAGGCAAACTATATTAGGCCAATTTGTAGACACGTCTTTGCAAACCTTATTATTTTCCCCTTTATACATCGTTATCACGAATTACTTAATCTATTTTGCTGTTTTCTCATTTTATGTTTTAACATATTCTAATTTTAAATTTATAATAATAATAAATAATAATAAATAATAAGAAATAATAATTTTTTATTTAGTATTTTTGTTTGGAAATGCGCCGTAAATGTATAAAATTGGCGCATGCCCCGCGTATACTCGAACTCAATTATCTCAAAGAGTATGCCCCCTACAAAAATATTTTACCCCACACTTTCGACGTATTTTTTGACAAAGAATCGCCTTACTTTCACTTGTACCACAAATTACGAATGAACATTAATTATTATGCTCGCGCAGATAGCGTTTAATCGGTGAAAAAATAACTCGAGTCGCTGCACACGCGGAATAGAAATTTCCGTTGTCTTCTGATCAATGTCGATTCTATCGAGAACAACGTTTTCAGCGTTCACGAGTTATAGTCCCGATTTTGGCCAGCGAAACTATAACCGCTAAATTTAATATACACGTATATCAGTCGTTACGCGTTTGAAAGAACGAGAATTTGATTTCTGGAAGAAGTGAAATCTGCTTCGACGCTATCATCATCTACGAGTTTTTCTTTTGTTTTTCTTTCTTTTCGTATATTGTCGCGATTTGAGATTCGAAGACGTTTACCATGAAAATATCACCGTGAAACTTATAACGCGAGAAACGTCGATCATCGACGAACCAGTCTATCGAGCCTATTCTAAGTATGTACTACTGTTTCCTTCCTCTTTTCGTGTATTTACATACGTCTACTGTAGTTTGCGTGCTCTCTGAGAAGGCACGTTGCACGGAAGAGCGTTCTTTTGTCCCGACGAGATCCTTTCGAGTGCAAGTCCACAAGAATTTCGACAGTTACGAGAGTTACCGAAAGTAACGTACGGCTAATTCATATGCGCATCTTGGTCAAAATATCGTTCGACGTTTCAAGGCAGATACGAAGATCGCTACTACAAACCGCGCGATTTAGTTCTCTCCTCTAATTCACGCTCGACTTCGCGTTTATATCGAAAACTGAGCCGTAAAACTGGTCAAAGAAACAGTGAATATTAAATTTCTCGCCGCGCCCTTACGAGTATTCGTCTAAATGCTACTTCGTATAAATTGTACCATTTCGATTACGCGATACAAGTCTTTAGAATGTCAAGTATTCAAAGAACACGGTTGAGAAAAAGGGATTCGTAAATAGATTCTGACCAATCCTACACACCAGCGATTGAGTTTTTAAATATTTCGAGTGTCGTCGCTGGATAGTGGATTCTTTGCATTTGCGGTGTCTGCGAATATGAAATTTATATGCTAATCGTACACAGAAAATGAAGGGTGTTAACAAAAATGTAGGATCTTTGTCGGGGTATCGATTCTTCGTACGAATATAAATCGAAAAGTCCTTTTCCGTTTTGTAATCCGAGGCTTTGTTATCGATATACAACCAGTTAAAGTTTGAATGCGCGCATGCGTGGCCACATAAATGGCGCGTATGGGGAATCCCATAAGTACACTTTAATCGTTTACATCTCGGTAACGAAGCTTCATACAGCAAAATGGTACAGGACTTTTCGATTTCCATTCATACGAGGAATCGATACGTACAAAAATCTTAAATTTTCGTCGATACTCTGTATACACACGTGGAAAATGAAATATCATTATAATATTAACTTATAAAATATATTTCGCATTTCTGTATTAACAAACGCCGTAAATGCGCGAGATCCCCAGCCACTCGTTTATCGAGTAAACTCAAACAGCGTTTCCCAAATCGCTCGAGAAGGAACTTAGTAACCTAAAGTCACCGCTAATGAGATCTCATCCTGACAGAAATTACATTCGTTTTAATACCGCAAAGAAACAGTTCAGATTCAGGACGTTACCGATGCTCCCGTGATCTTGTACGACAGATTCTAACATTTCGAAGGAACATCCGAAATTTCAGACGTATTCTAACGGTCGTGAACCCCGTTTCCCGCGCGTCGGTCGAGAGATCAATCACGAAATGCATTGGAAGAACGAGCGTCGCGATTGGGTCATTGATCGGGTTCAGCCCTCCATACAAATCACGAGTCGGTGTGGGTGGATGACGATCACCCGATAAGGGGACCCCCGACCGGTTGTCGACCCTGTCATTCCTCGTGCATCACAAGTAACACGTTTTGTAATAGATAAAGGCGACCGTGTCCTTGCCGAATGTCCTGCACTCTCTCTCGTAGTGCACCTGTCCAGGCTCGTATCTTCCGCCCTGGGTGTATTTGTCCAGCCTCGACAGGCTTCTGTAGAGTCTCAGATAGTCATCTTCGAGTTGGTCCTCCCGGTATCTTCGACGCCTGTAACCGTCGTCCCACCTGTCCCTCCAATCCCTGCTACCGGGGGACAGAAAAGACGAAACACCAGGACCCCTGATCCTGTCATCCAGTTCCAAGTCCGATAGGTCTTGCAGGCTCTTCGGGTAACTGCGACGCCACTCGAGCAAACCTGACTGATCCCTGAAATTGATGGTTCTGCTTCGTCTGGGCAAGGTGGAGCTGTAAAGCCTCTCGCCTCTCGCGTGGCTGATACCGTTCCTCAGGATCGGCTTGGAGACGCTCAGGTCGACCAGTCCGTCTCTCCAGGCGTGCCTGTCTTCGTACGTAGCCGCGTAATCGCGCCTTCTGTCTCTTCTGGGTAGCATCTCCGCATCGCGATCGACGCGACTCGCGTCAACGATCCTCTCTTGCGGATAAACGTTCGAGTATCGTTCACGATGGCTCCTCTCGGTTCGTCCGCAACGCTGACGATTCTCCTGGCGAGCCTCGTTCCTTTCTATCGGTCGACCGGGTAACCGATAATCGGCTCTGATCACGTCACCGTTGCTTCTGTGGGTCGTCAAGTTGCTTCTGGAACTCTCGTCGGTGGAACGACGACCCGTGAAGAATCCACGGGAATGTATGAAGCTCTCGACGTTCCTCCCTATCCTGTTCGTCTTTTCCGCGAAGATGTTGCAGTAGTCCGATAACTTTCGATGACTGCATCTGTTGTCTGACGTCTGACAGGACGTGGTCGGAACGTCGATACCTGGATTTGCGTTGTACAGATCCCGTGGATCGTGTTGATTGGGATAAGCCCCCCCTGGTAGGGGCTTGTTGGTCTTCTCCAGATTCGACAGGCCTCCTGTCAGCGAGGCCTTATACTACCGAGCTTGCGCGTACTCTGGGTTCATCTCGTCCAGTTGTTTCCCTTTCGTTTCTGGGACGCAACAGACCACGAAACACAAGCCGCACACCGCCACTGCCGCGTAGAACCAAAAGGCCCCGTGCAGCCCGAACGTCTGCAACAAATCACCCGTTTACGAAAGTCCTTCGTTAATTCATTCGTGTTTGAATCAACAATTTCAGATCTCGCGAATGGTTTTTAATATCTGGACATAAATAGTGACGGTTGAATATTTTCAAAACTGGTCATGGTAGAAGACAAAGTTTCTTAACTTGATTAAATTAATTTGTTCAAGTGCCAGTTGAGTATTACGAGTAACTGTGTAACCAATTAAGTACTGTTTCGACCATATAGAAATCTGTTCCGAATTAAATACTTGCAAGTTGATAAAATCTGAAGCATTTGATCAAGAACCGAACTGTTTAACAATGTCCTGATACCTGGGGTATAGTAATGAGGCATTGAAGCATTTACGTATTGAGGTACTACAGAGGCAATAGGGTACTCGAGTAGAACAATGCCAACTAGATATTGATATTCGGTTCAATGTTTAGACCGTTCTCCAGTTTTTCCGCGATGAAAGAGTCTCACCTGCTGAAAGTCCATGAAGAGTTTAATCCCAACGAACGCGCAGAAGTAGCTAAAGCTGGTGCTGATGCTCGAACCGAGGCCGCGATACTCCAGGGGGAAGAGCTCGCCAATCAATAACCACGAAATTGGCGATATGCCCAGAGCCAGAGCTGTCGTGAAGACGAGCACGCAGAGCAACGGTATCCAGTCGTGCTGGCCGACAACCGCGTTGTCTGGATTGCCCAGATTTTGCGTCTGTGACATATAGTAGGCATAGCTGCCGAAACCTGCCAACGCCAATGACATGAACACGGTGCTTGCTATCAGAAGCGGCAGTCGGCCCACGATATCGATCAGGAATCCTGCGCGCGATAAAAACCAATGATCCTCTCTGGTGTTTCACAAATTTCAAGTTTTTGATATGGAATTATTCTTTCGATCGTACCTGATAGCAGAGAAGCCAACAGTTGCACGAACCCGATCGCGATGGTCGCTCCGTGAGGGTTCATGCCGCCCAGTGTCTGTCGGAATATAATGACCGCGTAGTAATTAAACGCGTTTGCCCCGGAAAACCTTTGGAAGAACATCAGACCGCACGTTATGGCAATTGGCTTGTACAATCGCGGCGTGAACATGCTGTTCTTGAACGTCAGCTCGTACTGCTTCGCCCTCGAGGCCAGAATGTTCGTCTTGATCACCTGCCACAGAGAAGTTATTCATTCGCGACGATACTTTGGGCCGCGGTTATAAAGAGGAGACAGTTCTGATTCGTGGAAGCTTTGTTATGTTACCTGGAGTTCGTGTCGTATATCGACGTGATCGCCGCGCAGCCACTGCAGACTGTTGGCAGCCTCATCGTCTTTGCCATTCAGAACGAGGTACGAAGGCGTCTCGGGTATAAAGAGAGTACCCAAAAAGAGCATCGACGGCGCTACTGCTACCAGCAGCGCACTTTGCCGCCAGTTCATGTACGTGCCCGCTATGTACGACAATAACACGCCGACGTGACCGAGCACCTTTAGCATCGCCGATAGGCAGCCTCTGATACCCGGCATCGAGATTTCTGATATGTACACCTGAATCGGAGAAGAAACCTAGCTTCAAAGATTCGTTGCAACAGCATTCTTCCATTGTCGACCAGGGTTACGTAGAATACTACTTGATAGGTGAAAGGTTTATAGTACAAAAGGGAACAGAAGCTATGCAAATTGGGGCCAAGTTTATCGCTAATCTTACGTTTGAGTTATAAAGTTTATAAGTAAAGTGTAGTAGCATTTTATGTATCTTATAACTTAGTGGATCAAATATCATGAGCCCCTCGATTATCCCTCGATTATCCGACCTAATAGGGGCGAGGGTTGGTAGGACAATCGAGGGTGTCGAGAAATGGGGAGGATTTTGTTTCATCTTAGGTCAACAAGGAGATTATAAATGTATCGTAATATCGTTAACAGGGGCATAATACTTAGATCATGTATTATACATTTAGACAGAAAGTCTCGTGAACGTTTGTTATATCTTAGTTCTACGATACAGCTCCCTTTAGACCCTTCAATTACTCAAACGTCCTGATAAGATCGGGATTAAGGGACACATGATTTATCAAGATCATCAAAAATGTCTCAAACGTGGGTCTGATACACCTGTGCCTGCAGCAGTGTTTCTCAAACTATTCTGCATGTGACCTACTTGGATAAACCACATAACTCACTTACTATGGGACCCTCGAAGTGTATAATTGTAGACTAATGGGCTTCACAATTATTGAAAGCCTACAAATGATTCCGACTGAGAATTAAATCAAATGAGAATTGGATTCGTATTGTAGTGTGGCTCATGGGGTAGGGTTAGTTCATACGACTCCTACTATAAAAAGCGTACAAAAAAGTTATTCCATAGATTTTCTCAAAAATCAAGCTAGACGAGCTTGCGCTGCCTTTCAGCTAAAAATGATTCATAAATCTCAAACAACCGACGTTTAAAACCAACGTTTACCAAGATCAGTTGTTCTCGATAGTCCCTGAAGTTTAGCCCCAGGTGTTTTCGACGCCCCGTTTGCTGGGAGGATCTGATTTTGAGGGTCGCTGTATGGTATTACCTGGGCAACCATGGTGATGACCGAACAGCAAAGGCCTCCGATGAAGCTGGTGACGTAAACCAGTTCTACATTATGCGCGATCCCGGTGAAGATCCAAACCGCAGCCAGAGGCAACGATGTCGCGCGGAGCGCCAATCGACGCCCTCTTCTCATTATCCAGTCGCCAATCATAGCGCCGAACCACGCGCCCAGCATCGACAGAGACGCTACCCACGATGCTTCTTGTTGCGTCACCGAGAAAGCCGACCTGCGACAAATGGCAACACGATTACGGATGACAGCGGCCGTGTAACGTAATGCCGGAACCTAATCGTTCCCTAATACCAGGCGGCGTTGTCTCCGACGCTGGCCACGATTAACCTGGCGAGTGGGATCGATCGCCGCGCGTGCATAATCGATCTTCGTAACCGGTTCAAGGATAGCTTACGTTCGTTGTACTCCGCGGAGAATACGCGCTTGTTTATGGAGGATTCAGGCTTTACTGGTCCCCTGTGCGCGACGAACTAATCGAATTATTAAGGAAAAAGGAACAATCGGGATTATATCAAGGGTGTTCACCTCTGGGAAAAATTTTAAGAGGCGATTCTAGAACCCCAAAATAAGACGAAAGTCAAGAATACCAATTTGTTGATCGAGGCTTCGTTAAAAAGTTAGTAACGTTTAAAGTCCCGCATGTTGAACGGCAATCTGAGAACAGCTGCGTGCAAGCGATAGTAATTCCCATCACAGACGAGGTATTCGAGTAGATTTTACATCCAATGTATTTTTTCAGCCCATTTTTGGGGGGCTCCAAAGCCCCATTAATACGTATTGTTTGCACGTTGAAACATTAAAATCCTTCAATCCATTCAAAAGTTATGATTGAGCTCTTTATTTTGATAGTGGAGATTGTGCTGCACTGCAATACCCAAGACGCGATCAATAGCGACCAGAGTTTTTTGAAAATATAGAAGAACATGATCCAGTAATAATTTTGGTTGGAATTCCAGGGCATAGTTGTATCGTGACCTTTTTAAAATTCATGAATGCGTAAAAATTAAACCGTTGTAAACAGTCTTTACGAATGTCCTTTGTTCGCTTAAACAGGACATCGATATGCCCGGTGGATTGCAGAGATTCTACCGCGATCTGACGATTAATTTATTCCGATTCCGCAAATTCGGAAGCAAATTGCCGGTCGTAAATTTCAACGTTGCGCAAAGAACCGAACGTCGAGTATTACACGCCGAGTATAACTAATGGGCACGGTTTGTTGCTACTTTATGCAGCGTGCTTCCTTTGCAACGGCCGCGATAAACTGAACCCACTATCGCGGAGAAAGTGTGCGACAGCGTTCGAAAAGAAACGGGGTGACGTTAATGCATTTGTTAAGTGAATTATCTAAGATATTCGCCCGCGCTTTATTACGCGCGGCCGGAGAGCGGTGGGGATGGGAAGGGAAATATCTCGTCGAGTTTATTTAATTTGCTTATCTGCGGACCGACACTAATCGTTACCGGACACGACACGTATTGCCCACAATTACTTACGAAGTTTCACCTTTATTGCACGCGCTGCGCCTGTTACAACGCCGCGCTGTTATTTCTTAACGCGTGCCCGCCGTAGTTTACAACCTGCCGCGTTGCTAAGACTTACCAGGTGTTGTTCGAAGATTGGTAATGGTGAAGGGGTTGGTTGTCCAGAATGGAGTCCAAGGCCGGCGACGTGTAACCCTTCGCCAGGCCGGAGGACAGCGTCCCCATCGATAGCGCCAGGGTAGCTAACACCTAAACAAACGTATCAATTTCAAACGATAGGAATCTCGCAAAGCATACAAATAAGTCAGTCTTCGTTACAAGCTGATAATCTAGGTGCAATTCCTCCCAAAATTAAAAGAATCAGTTGAATAATACAGTAATGATTCTTAAAATGAACATCGATCCTGGATTGGCATGCTCATCTTTCGTACAGCATAGGCACAATTCTACATCAGTAGATATTTACATGCAGCTATATGGTTAAGCTTCAGAGGCCCCTTCAGTTGGGAGGGATAGAAACGTTCAACTTACGAATCATGTTCATTTTAAGAATCATTACTGTAATGGCGACACAACGTGCTAAGTAAAGATCACTTAGAAAGAAACAAAACGGAATATATTTTTAATTTTAAATGTCAAATGGTTAAAAAACATTGATCTATAGCAACACTTCCTCTCTGATATAATACTCAACTACTGCTGCATAGCAGATCATATAAAAGAATCATATAGTCCAAGAACTGATTCCATGGGGATTCCCCCAATTGAGAGGGATAGAAATGTTCAACTTACGAATCATGCGTGAACATAATATTTTCTTAACTTTCAATGTCAAATGGTTAAAAATAATTATCCTCTCTAATATATTATTCAGCTGACCTGGCAGATCATATAAAAAAATCGTGAAGAAATTGAGGGCGTCGAATTTCAAACCGACGATAATATTCTCCCCTCAGTGATATTTAATAGCCAACGAGAAAGTAAACATTTTTAAGTAAATATAATTACCAGGAGTAGCCAGTTATTGACAGAGGGGTAAATCGGGTAGGTGGAATCTGCAGGTGGGTACGCAGAACCGCGAATTCGTTCATTGGAGGAATATGGGAGCGCTGTGTGTATATCACGCTCGCATATTGCGGCTCGCAGCCGTCGGACAAATTGTTGGCCGCAAATTGAAAGCCCGGGCTCTCGACCCTTCGCGAGGAATACTAAACATCTCGCGCAGCCCGGGACTGGTGTGTGCATCTCCGCAACGATCGTTTCCAGAGCGCCGCGTGCATCGGGCGCACGTATTCCGCCGCGTGACAATGGTCGAGTGCTCGAGTTCCTCCTATGCAGAATCTGCCGATTTTACGGTGCACGGAGCCGAAATTACGGAACAACGGAATTTCGCGCGGAGGAACGCGGAACGTTGTCCCGACCAGCCACTGGCCTCGCGCATCGTCGAGCCTTTTCGATGACGGACGACGCGTTTCAACTATTCCCTTTTTCCGTTCTGGTTCCCGCGAAACACCACTCTCGCTCTATTCCAAAATACACAAAGGAGAAAAATTGCTAATGCACCGAAATGGGAGGGGGGTGTATTTTGTTTCGCGTTGTTTGGATTATACGGAGAAATGAGATTGGGGATTATGCGACGCACGTGAAATTAGTTTCGCGTGGATTCACCCCAACGGACGAACTTAGGTATTTTCGTTATTTCGCGAAACGAGTTCCGGTTTCCTTTTCGTTTTCGGGGAATGTCGAAGTGGTCCGGGCGTGCACGAAAATGTACATGAATTATATTACTGATGCTGTCGTGCATACGTACACGGATCGTGTATTCTCGATGGGAGGAGGAGTATAGCGAGGTACTCGAAGCACGCTCGAGCGTTATGGAAAGAGATACTCTTAAGGGTACAATTCGCGAAACGTGTTTTCGCCGCACGGAGCCGTGGAAAGTTGCAACGTCCACATCTTTGAAGTATTCCTGGGTCCTTCGTGCGTTCCATAGTGTCCCAAAAAGTTCGAGTATCCTATCGTCTTCGCTCTTTTAGGTTTTCTAGGGTCTCCTTATATTTCTTTTATCAAGTACATTGACCATGGCCGCCTGCCCTCAAGATCGATACGATTCCTTGGGTCATTTGACATTGTGTCACAACTTTCAGAGTTTATAATCTTGTGTGCGCCTTTATCAATTTCTACCACCCTTTGATAAAATGTAACAATTCTTGGGGTCGTTTGTACCGAATATTACGGCTCTTGGGGTCGTTCGCGTTAACTGTTAGGGTTTCCAGAATCGTTCGATCAGGTGTCACCACGTTTAGGGTCATCGGTATCAGGTGTTACAAGTCCTTGGGGCGATTTGTATTGAATTTCCTGGATCTTGGGTAATCTGTGTTCGGTGTCAGCCCGTAAATGCCTGTATCGTATCTTGTTCATCCAAAATCGCCCGTATTGGGTTTCGATCCGACTGGTCCTGAATCGTCCATGTCCGGGAACTTAGCTAAGTCTTCTCTACCTAATCTTGTTAATATAGAGTCTATTGACTTTCACGGATCTCTCTGTCGAATTTGATAAGTTCAAAATCGTTTGGTGCCGCGTCTGTGCGAGACGCCTCTCGTTTTGCTTGCTGTAGCAAAGTGAACGCACTTTAATGTAGTCTGGGTTGTACGATTCGCCGAATGTCGCAATGAAATCTGGTATACACGTAAATCTTATCCAGTGCTCGAACCGCGAGCTTTTTGCACGCGAAATCCAACCGTGACTACCGACATCTAGTCTGTTATCTCGATTCGCTCCGAGACCGGTATCCGTGTCAGATGAACGAGAAATAGAGATGACATCAACCGCCAGAGAAAACAATCTAGGCGATAATATTCGTGTCGAGGCTCGATTTCCACAGTTCCTGCTAGCCGTGGGAAATTTTTACCGAAATATGTCGGTCAGGCGAGAGAAGAATTATTTACCGGCGTTAATAACGGATAATGCAAGGTGTGCCTGTAATTATTATGCTATTCATGAGAGCGTGTCGCGACGGGGTTGCTTCGCGTGAAGTACATTACCGCGCTTAAAGATCGCGAGATAAATGCATTAATTTCACGTGAAAGAGAGCAAAATTGAGCGGTTATTGAATTATGGCGGAGGGGGAAAATTTAATTTCGGTTCGGTGCATTATTGGCCACGGGTTGCTAAAGTAACTGGCGGCGTTACGCGAATTAGTCGCGCATTTGCAGAAAGTAGTATACATTTTTAGCCGGTAATTGGTCCACTTTTACGGAGGACGTTTGAAATTGATTTGCACTCAATTCCGAGACCTCGAAATCTCGCTTGACTATTTATAAATACATTCGATTAACGATTCAGCGAGCATTTTATTTAATTATCGTTTCCCTTTAGCGAGTATGTAAACTCGATAAAAATAAATTAATTGTATTTCAGGAACGTTGGAATTTTAAAATTAAATAATTATTATTTTGATGTTTTAAATTTTCATCCGAGCATATAATAAATTCCGTAACTTTTTCATATAATTTCTGTGCACTGAATTCATCATTAAAACTGTTGGATTTGGAACTTGTTAGTGAGCTGGACTAATTAGAATTTGTCTATGATGCTGCTTATGATTTACATATATGTATAGTATTACTCTGTATAAAAGCTTTCGCCAGCCGTACTCTCTTCGCTTCACAGATTTCTGAAATTCTGGAACCTAATATCCCAGACACAGAGCAACGCGGTATTCTTCTAATAAATCATCCATACCGTACAGTGGCTGTAACTGGGCCAAAAAAGTCGCAGAAAAATTGCGAATGCGTCGGGTATACACCCTGCAGCTTTCCCGCGGAATCCCTAAAGCCGTGTCGCTCGCACCTGTTGTGAACTTCTGTCGATATTTCATATTAAACTCTTGCGCACGCGACACACGCACGCGGACGTCCGTTCTCTCGTCGTGCATATACAGCGTGTCTTGTAATGAATTGTATATCCTAGAGAAAGATGACACGTAGTTTACGTATCAAACAAATTGTTATGTTCAAAATTGTTTTCGAAAACCAAACTCAAACATAGTGATTGCTGTTCAAAATCAGGATCAGTTTGCTCGAAACTCTTTGATATTTCACATTAAATAATGATCAACAGATCGACGAGATTTCCCCGATTAAAACGAGCCCAAACACGACCCCGTTCGAAGGTTTATTAATTTATATAGTTTACAAATTTGGAATTTTGGAAATGCAATTTATCTCACGCATAATTAAAAGCACTCGGAAGTATGTCATGTTTGTACTCATTTTGATTGGAAAAGCCCCACCAATCCATCGGTAATGTTTTCCAAAATTTTAATTTCGATTTTAATTTCGTTTGTTCGGAGTACATATTCTGTGACACACTGTATGCACGTTACAAAAAGTGCAATGACTGAACGCTGCTGTCTTTGTTACAGTTTTCCTACGTTAGGTCGCAGGAATTTTAAAAGGCATTCTTGGCGCCGATCCCACGTAAATTTGCATAGACTTTCAATATTTCGCTCCCACCGCGGGCAGACGCGGACGAGCTTATTATGCGCGATTAAACGTCGCCTGGCTGACCTTTCCGCCGCCGCGAGACGGCCTGGTCGCGTCGATCTACCGTTCGCGAACAATAACGTGTGGGTCGCGAGCCGCTTTCCAATCGGGAAGCTTTTTACCTGTCCCGATTTGATCGCGCGAAAACTGTAACGCTACCTGGGGAGCGATGTCGCGCGAGCAACAATGACACACGATCGCCTGGCGCTCGCCGAGCTAGCCGTCCGTCTCACAATGGTCCCGATTGAGAAATTTAATGGCACTTTCATATAACTATAACAGATATTCAAGTCCAGTTCGAACAGAAAAACATTTAAAAAATAACAGTTCATGTTCATACCTTTTGCTTTAATTGTTTGGATTTAATGATCTTGGAAAGATATTCAAGACTATTTATTCCATTTTTTGAGTGTAGTGTTAATTATAAATTGAACAGATTTCCCGTTCCCAGATATTGGATACAAAAAATAAATTAACTTGAACTAGATTTCTCCTTTTTTTGAGGCTGATTGTACACGTAACAGATATGTTAGATCAGACTGTGATGATGGAATAGCACTTCAAATCGTAAAAATCAGTTTTATTTCAATTTCTGTAGCTCGAAAAGTGTGACTACTACAGTAAAATTTCTAAGAAAATAATTATCATTATTTAGAAATACTTCACCCAGTAAAACGATGATCTTTGTAAACTTTAAGGTCAGGAATTGCAAGTATCTTTGTTTACTTTTAAAAATATTTTTATATTTGACTTGCAGAGAACATATAATTTATTTTGATCATAAAGATTTGGTGATAATTTGAATATAATACTAATTTGAATATAATACGACTATAAAAAATGTCGTTACAATATTAACATAATCTCTGCTATTTGAAAAAGTGTGCCACGTAAACGTTAGTCCCTCGTAAGTGTGTCGATATGTAAATAGAGGTGGAAAAACACTGCTCTATTGGAACCTCTCCAGTGAATTTTCAAATCTACGCGTAGTTGCAAAAGAGACACTAGAGACTAGTATAAATACGATTCAATTTTACCCCTTTTGGATCCTGCAATAACATACGCATACACGAATAATTTATATCCATCAGTGGCTTTGAAATTTCAATTACTGAATTTTTATCAAATACAGTGCCCAAAATCGAGGTCCAAAAGCGAATTTCGCAAATTTCCATTCGCGTGTCGGAAACGCAACTCAACCGAATGGGCTAAATTGACCCCCGAAAATCGTTGCGCACATTCCCCGTACGGTGCGCGGAATTTTCGCGAATTTACCTCGCTGGATCGTTCGAACGGAAAATCCGACGCCAACGCGAGGTGGTAACGACCCGACTCGCCGATGGTTTGCATACAATATGTTACAAGAGTGCTCAAGGACACGCCAGATACACCAGACAGACGTAAATGCATTTGCTCCTCTTCGAGAGGGAAATAATTCTCGTATATTTGTCTTGCGGAGTTACTTGAATACAAACCCTGCCATCGGCATGAAGAAGTAGCGACATGAGTCACCGACGGTTTACGCCATCTGACAGCCACGAGGTTGTTGTAAACCACCGACGGGGACTCGTTGCTTCGTAACAGCCGCAGCATTGCGTCCAACTGGTGACCCAGCCCGAACGCGTTAACCCTTTTGATGCTGACTTCGAACCTAACGCGCGCGCGCGCGACGTTTGCGGTGTGTTTACAGTCCTGGCACGTTGCGCATGTCCATCAAACGTTCATACGAGTGCTCTGACACGAACTGAATAGATTCGTTCGATATACCGAATTACGGTCACGATTAAGAGGGCATACGCATCTAGGAGGCTCGAAAACAGATCATTGTTTCTGGTCCATCGCGGCATCGGTGGGAAATGAACGGTCGATCAACGAGATATTTATTTTTTATAGAGTAACAAGGTAACGAACAGCATTTGAATTTGATATCTGAGGCTATCACGGTCTCAATCCCGACACTTGCGTTATTGTTTATCCGAGGAATTAAAACTCTAGTCGGTGACCAACGATCCGTGACACGAGCTGAGTGGTTGGTAATCAATGATCCGTGACATGAACACAGATATCAATAGACTAAATCTATATGGCGTACACTAATACCCCAGTGTCGTTTAACTTCTGAAGAAGCTGTTTGTAACGATGGCAGAAACCCTGATCGATTTTAGTATTCCTTTAATTGTTTTTACACAGTCATAAAGTCGTCGCAAAATAGAATACCTTCGCTATTTCAGTGTATCGTTTGTAGAAGCTTAGGTGCACACGGTCTTTTTTCAACACGAGGAACCTCGATTTACAGATAGGGATCCTTCGCGAGTTTAAACTGGGTCATAACGCAGTGGAAGCTACTCCAAATATACAAAAAGCTTGGGGCGAAACTAGCGTACGTTTGTTCGAGAAATTTCATTCGGAAGATACAGGCCTCGAAGATCGAGAAGTTTTTAACAGCCAAACATTTTAGCGAAAAAGAGAAAGTGCAAAACGAAATTGTGCTTCCGTCTTTGAAATAGAAGAAAAATGATTTTATGATTCCAAATTGCCAGGCTCCTTCCCCAAACTTTCGCGGGGGCTTTGCTGGGCGGAAAATCGAACGAAAATCAGCAACGACGCTGCAACGAAGCTATTCGGTTTCTGCTCAAAGTCCAATAACACGGATGCCTAGTTACCGTGCCGGATGCGATTATCCTCGCCGTCTAATTGGTGTATAATGGACAACGTCAAAGTTAGAAACAGCGTGAATGGATCCCGGTAATTTCTAGTCGAGGCGCAACTCGAACGGGCCGCGAACCCGATTCCGTTTTGATGCACGACCTGCATTCGATAATACTGAAATCTAATTCCCACCGGGGGTCGACTAAATGGATTTGTATCGCACGCGTACGTTCGGTTTGTTCTGCCGTGCAAATATTGATGCCGCCGTTAGAGCCTCGGAACAATAATAAAACGGCGTTATGCCGCGCTCGCGACGGGTAGCTTTTATCGCCCGCAATATCGGTTCGCCCACTGATCGAGGAAGATCCACCGTAATGGAAGTCGTTTTTAACCCGACTGCCCCTCCATTATGTCGCTTATTAATTGGCCAAGTTCGTGGCTGAGTTTCGAAACAGAATCTCCCGCTGCATCTAGTTACGTTACATTTCAGTATTTTATGTGTGTTTTATTATTCTATATAAATGTATTTCACCATGTTGCATTTTATACTCGCACGTATTTCTCTTAGCATTGCCTAACGAACTATACAGGGTGTTCGCGATATTACTAGCCAGCAGTCTTTTCGAAAACTATTCTAATTGAATAGAAATGAAAGAGAACAGGAATTTTGGTTTCTTATGATCAATAGGACAGTGTATATCAATTTTGTAGATTTGCATTGATCTTCAATTTTTTAATATTAATAACATTACTTTGGCGATTCGAACGATTTTTGATCGCGGATTATCAATCAGGGCGTAGGAAATGTTCGAAAATGGCGATCTAGACGTGAAAAATTATATTTTACCTTAAAAGCGCATAAATCTTTGAAAACAAGTTTATAGACGATTATTAACACTGTTAACATTAATTTTGTTTAATAATTTTTATATTATTTCATGTTCAATGAAAATTAAATTAAAGAAATATATTTATTATAAAAGTTTCACTGCTGCATAACATTTTGAGTTATATAATGTATGTAAATAAAGAAGAAAATAATAAGATTAAGATTCACTAACTTTAAAGTTATATTATTCAAAAAGTAGCAGCTGATTTTCGGAGAAACCAAAGAAATGAACATAAACTACAAACTCGTGGTGGAATTTTGACCAATATGTACCAATCTTTCTGATTGCCTGTATTTAGAATTATAATAAATTTTGATCAATTGTTTTTATTCTAAAATAAAGTGGGTATCTTCCTGTGCAAAATTGATACAGTACAAAATGAAATTATTGTAATCTCATTATTTCCTAGAAGGAGAAATATGAACTGCAAAAACAGATTTCCAAGAAGAATAGAAACGTCTAGTCTCTGAGTAAATATTAACCTATTTAAACAATATCTAGGGATAAATGATCGAAGATGGTCAAAAATTGAACTTTTTCACGTCCAAATCGCTGTTTTCGAACACCGTGCGACGCCACGCGAAGCTCGGCGAAAGTTGCGACGGTGAATCGAGTGAAATGCCCCGTGCAAACAGCACCCGGTGCTGGAACACTGAAAATTCAAGCAAACGATCCTCGGCAGAGTATGAATTTCCTGGGGGCGGCGGTGTGTAGGTTTCCCGTGCGTTTCTTCTGGCAGCGGCACGACGTTAAAAGCTCGTTTGCGCCAAGCCACGCCGAGAAAGGATGTGCTCGAGTTAGGTCGAAGTTAACCGAGAGAGCCATTAGCTTAAAACTGTTAGCCCGGTCCTAAGCGAAAGGAGAGCAAACGAGAAAAAGAACCCGCGGAAAAAGAGCTTTGAAAGTCTTTAGAGTGGCGGTATTATGAAAATGGCTGGTCAGTTCGGGCTAGTAAAGTGCACGCCAAGTGTGCGCGCGTCTGTATAAGCGCAGAGAGACAAGGCTAGAGAGGGTTGGAACAGGGGGGGGGGAGGGAGGGGGAGAGAGCTTATATCGAAAGACCCGCCTCGGTGCTCGATATGCATTTTAAGCCGGACCACTCAATTAAGCTCGCGGCTATCTTCGGTATTTGCATATCAATATGGACCCATGCCAAGAAGGAAAGATTTGCTCCGCTTGCTGGATTTGGATTATTCGAGAACTCGCTAGATACACGGCTGGGGAGATGTAAATCGCCGCGTTGCGGACGAGAAAATCCCAGCCTGTTCCTAATAATCGCAATTGCATCGGATTCTATTTCGATTCCGTCGATTCGTTTAAGTCTGCTTTTTAGTGGTGGAACTGGGCTCCAGATACAATGTTTTTTCAAAGTCGCTGGCACGAGAGAAGCTTTTTAACGAATTCTTCGATACCAGGTTGAAATATGTCTCACGAAGTATCGATACTGCTCGCGATATGCTTAATCCGCTCGACTGTATCTCTATTGCACGTTCGCGAAAAGTTACTTTTCTTGCTCCAACCATTCCCACTTTCGCCGTTTCGGCCAATAGGACCGTGGGCTCTCCAAACTCTAAACTAGAGTGGGGATTTGGGGACCAATCAGACCCACATTCCTTTCGCTAGCCAACTTCTTACGTACGCACAGTATTAGGTTGTGTAATAAGTCCGTTCGCGTCTCTTTGCAAGAATATCAAATACTGCCAGTTTTTCATGTCAATGTTATACGTAGCATTTTATTCTACGATCTTCTGTCGTTTTTTAAATAATTTAAATATCTCTTTATAATAGAAAATCCATCACTTTATTTAATAAAAATTCCAGATGCGTGTATATATTTATTTCTTCTGTGTTTTTTCCATAATTTTTCACTGAAAGAATTTTTTATTATACGGAATAAATCGAAGTAATATGAGACATTTAAGCTGCAATAACTTCAGTTCCATCGTCAAACATTATAGAATCGTATGTCATCGTGGTAGAAAACAATTTCTTTTCTAAATACACAAGTGATAGCCAGTCGTGAATAGTATTTTTAAGAGAATATACTAAAGTAAACTGTTAAAATATCGTCCGCAATTTCTCAAATATCAGACTCAGGAATAGTCTGTCGATGATCTAGGCAGCTGAATCATACGTCGCGTTAGTGAGACAGTATAAATACCTGCGACATGTGCTGAGGTCTCGTCGCCGTCGACGTCATGTGTACCACGGAAGCCCTGGGCATTTTAAAGCTGTTTTCGCCCTCGTCCGGCACGGTCGTTACCTGGAACAGAGAAAGATACCGATGATACTCGATACGAACTCGCAACAGCACTTTCCCTGTACAGCATCCGTCCATCAAACGCCGAGAGTCGACGACAAATTCCCTTCGACCCTGCCAGGTCGAATTTGTCTCGAACAGGCCTATCGCCGAACTTCGAATTTCCACTTTCGACCGGCAACAAATCCCTACCATCCCCGTCCCCGAGCTGGATTAGTCATGCCTGTCCAGCTCGGCAACTTAACCATTAGTACCGTGTTCGCGTTATCTTTCTCCTCGGAGGAACACGCCTAAGCGTCAGCCTCTCTGCATTGTTTTCGCTATTTGTACACGGATCATTGCCAGTCGAGCCGATTGTCAACCGTAGCCCGCGGCCTCGGCGGGTCGTAAACCAGAAACGTTTCGCCAAACAGCTCCGCGAACGTAATTGAAAGCTGAACAGGAAGAAGGGGTGGGGGGGGGGGGGGGGGGGGGAGAGAAGAGACATCGTGTCCCGAAGTTTACGAGCTTCCAGAAATTATAAAGGGGAGCAGTTGTAAGTAACCGCTGCTGCCCACGATAAGACAGTTTCCGAGGAACCATTGTCTAGAGACCCCGGACAGATAATTGTCCCTGGTTGTACAGGCAATTGTGACGCCCACGCCCGGTGGTGTCCTGGCGCAGGAAAACGCCAACTTTTTGCGTCTGACAGGCCGTCAAGTCGGTCGCTCGGGGCTCGTTACGTCTAAATCCTCAGCCGGTTGTCTCTCTTGTCCTCTCTTTCCGATGCAGATCGTTACACGCCTCGCGGCTTGTTTATTCACATCCACCTGACGAGCGAGAGAGCGGTTTCGGGTGCAGCGCGCTTAGTAGCCGGTCGAAACTGTCACCGGGAGCGTGCATTTAGCTCCACCGACGATATTGGACACGGAGAGACCCGGAGCCGCATTCTGGACCCCTTAGATATCGAGTGAACGATGGTAACGGTTGTTCGACCTGTCCATTCCGTTCACGCCTTTCGTGATTTACAGCGGACTGGTTTCACGTGACAAAATTTCGCTCGGCGGCCTGTCGCCGCTGCCCAACAATGGGGAAAGAGAAAGACGTTCTTGTTTAGCTACTGCAAAGTTCGCGGCGCCGATTGTTTGGCAAATGACAAATTGTATTCCCAGCGACGGTACGACTTCATTAACGGCAACAGAAGTAGAATGTCGACGGGATACGAATGTTATTGCGCGAATAGAGAGTCCAGAATACCGGTAGAATTCAAGTAGGTTAAATTCGTGCTGTTCGAGAAATCTGTACAGTGTTTGAAATGGAAACGCAGAACGCAACTAGTTTAATAGGGTCCGGAGTAGTAACCCGATCGAGGGGGATCGAGATCGCGCCATTAAACTATCGCTTGGATCTATGGTCTAGTCGATGTCACTTGATACCTTTTTGAAGGAATAAGACTATGAGAGGATGGCATGGACCACCAGGGGACTTGTATTTTGTAGGTAAAATTGTCAGAGAATTCTGTTGCTTGTTTAAAAATGAAAATCAGTTTCAGCGAAGTATAAAATTTTCTATAATTCATTTTACAAAAAAGACTGCTATATTTTTATCAAGAAGCGCGACCAAGTACGTTGTTCTCGTTTACTAGATTAACTAAGGGTTAAATGTATACGCGAGTATTTCTAGCAAGTGTTTCTAAAGAACACTGGGTGCCTGTATCGTAAACCTATCGTTCGAACGGATTTTTCGTGCGAGTCGCGCTGGTATCGCGCTACCCTCAGGCAGCGTGCGCGCATGGGCACTGATAAGGAAATTTAGGAGGCGTGCACGCGGCCGCGGTATTCCCTTTTTAGATGTATCGACTCGTAGCACGGGAATGCGGGCGTTTTTTACAGCGGTTGTTTATTGCAATCGGGTTCGAGTACCTTGATTCTCCACCGAGGTGCTCATAGAGGTTGGATAATTATAGACGAGCCGGCGAGAAACGCGGGATAGATACTTCTTGCAATTAAGATACCAATGGAGGAACGCGTGTCTAGGCTTGCACAATAGAGGGAGTGAATCACTGGCGTACGTCTTCTCTTCCCACGCCGCCCTCCATCCTTCGCTGAAGACTTCCTGATGGTCGAACGATCCACTAGACTCGCGATAGTCGAACGCATCAACGAAAATCGATGACGCCGTCCATCGCTACGAACCTACTCGACTCGAGAGGCTATACGACTCTAAAAATCGAAATATTTTTAACCCTTATATATTTGTAGCCTCAAACACAACAAGCTATCCAACAATTTGTACTCCGTTAACCTCAATTTTAAATATCTGAATCAAATAAGTTAATTTTAGATTTACACTTTAAATGTCGAACTAAAACAATTAATTCTCAAGTTGAAATGTTAAAGGAAATAAATTTAAATACAATTCATGAATTTTTGTGATATTACAAAAATAAGTTCCAAAACAAATTTTATAGAGTTTTGTATTCATAAAAAGCATTCCATGACACCTTAAGAACACCTCGAAAATGGGAACCAAACGTTTTTAGATATCGTGCCCTGCCTGTTATTTGAAAGAGTAAATACAAGCAAGGAACAAGCTTCGAAAAGCGAAATAAAATTCGTGTGATAAATGGTCGACGACGATCTTACGATTGTTCTATCTGTTTTTGTGGCGGCCTGGTCCTCTTCAGCCCCTCTTTCCAACCCCATTCGACGCCACTTTGCTCCCCTTTTTCCGCGAACCACTGGAGACGTACCGCCGATTTTCAATAACCGACAAGATAGCAGATAAGCTCGACGGGTCCCCTCAGATGTGATTTCTCACGTTTTCTCCCTCGGAGCACCCCTCCCACGGGATTTATCCCCCCTCGAAGACTCGCCTCCAGGTTTTCAGAGCACCGTGGCTCCGCGTCCTGGCAAATCGCGGCTGAAATCAATATCTTCGGGGCGCCGGGACGCTCTTCGTTCTGAACGATCGCATCGAAACCGATTTGGAAGACTAATCGAACTCCTCTGCCGGCGAACGGTTCGCCACTGTTATTATCGCGGCTAGCAGAACGCGGAGAATTTCAATCGAAAAGTGTCGCGTTTCTCTCGCGGCAGTCGTGAATCGTCCAACGATTTGAAAATCGAATCGTGCCTGATTCTTATTCGTGCCAGTTAAGACACTTCGACGAACGATTTTGACTTTAAACAGATTCAGGAATACTCTTCTAAACAAAATCTTTACTCGAGCTTTACTGTTTTATTTATTAACCCTTACGTCGACTCTCAATCTCAACAGAATTATTTTACTTAATGTTTACGACATGTATTAAATAATTATTACCCTTTGTTTTTGGTTCTCTTCAGTGATTGCAGTTAACAGCTTATTTTTCCTAGACTTTCGATAAATATTTTCGTGTAAATTCCTTCGCAATGATGCATCGTATAAATAAAACATAAAATGAGCAATATAATTACGTCCAGTGACAAACCAAAGATTTTAAATATAATTGAAGAAAGTAGTCGTGAAACGTTTCTTTGGAACAGATCTCCCGAGCGATAAAAAGTAGAAACCTGTGCTGGACATTTTCCAAAGAACCAGTCTCGGCACGGTGATGAGGATTCCAGATAGAAAGAACAATATTCTAAATGAGGAAGCACTAGAGCAAAGTACGGTATATTAAAAGTTTCCAGACATTTCGAATACATTTTTCAGCTAAGAATTAATTATCGTCGATCGTCGATCGTACTTAGATTCTAAAAAAATTATTTCCAAAATTAAAATCAACGATAAATAAAGATTAGTATTAACCAGAAATAGCAAAAATATTCGGTTTGAATTGTTTTCGATGCCTTTCTTGGCGCTGCTCGGATATTCGAGAAACAAATCATTGGACAAAAAGTCCCCCAGCCTTTAGTCGGGGGTTGGGAACCCGCGTCGTGAAAGGTGCATCGAGAGGTTGAGGTTTGTGGACGGTTGCAGAAAATTAAAAGAGAGGACGAGATTTATACCGGGGGAAAGGAGGAGGGATTAATCTGAATAGATGAATCTGAATTCGAGGGAGTATTCCGGAGCACGGTGCGCGTGCATACAGAGCGGCTGAGTCGGATAATATTTTCCCTAGACACGTTACCCCTGTATAAACCCGAAGTATGCGCCCCGAAGGATCGTCGACGCCACGATAGTGCACGGTTAATAATAATTTCATGCCGAGATTTAATAAGAGATCCCGCGAAGAATGGCTGCCGCGAGCTAAGGGGGTTGGACGTTGTTTTGAAATCGTTCCATCGCATGTCGTCTCGACGGAACCAAATTAATTACTGATACACAAGATAAACAAAAATACTGCCAAGAAACGGAAAGAATAGGGGAAAAGGTTGCATCGAAGAAAGAATCGACTTGGGACGACTTGGACCAGATTTCAGCTGCTTGCAGCGATAAATAGCGATGGGTTCGAACGTGTTTGTATAGGTTCTCAAACAAATTATTATAAAATCTTGAAAATTGTGGTGTATGTTCGAAATTGTACATGCTACTGTTGCTCATTCCAAAACTCCATTTTGTTATTCTTGCAAACTATTTTAAGCGAATATTTTCACAAATTGAACACGACATACTACGATAATACTATTATACAAATAATTCACCCTGTATTTTTCAAATGTTTCAATATTCAAGAATCTCGATTAAGACGATACATTCAATAATGAACAGTGATTCGATCGAGGTTGGTCTCTCAGACAAATTATTATAAAATCTTAAAAATTGTGGTGTATAATCAAAATTGTATATGCTACTGTTGCTCATTCCAAAACCCCATTTTATTATTCTTGCAAACAATAACAATAACAAATTGAAGACGGTCATCGAAACTTACGAAAGAGAGGATGCATTAAAAAAATCAGCCCACCAAGAATAATAATACTACTGTAAAAATAACTCACTTTATATCTTTCAAACGTTTCAATATTCAAGAATCTCGATTAAGACGATGCATTCAATAACGAACAGTGATTCGAACGTTGTTAATTATCGGCGGTTGCAGCCCCGAACGAAATCGTTCGTTCTGGCTCGTAGGCAGAGATGCATACTCGCATGGTACAAGCCTGG